CAGTGTAATGCCTCACTATTGGTGGATACGCGAATTGCAGACTGTCAGTATAGTCAACCGCCACTTTCCATGGCGAATGGTCTCATCCGTTGCAAGCATTGTCTGCCTTATTTCTAAAAGCGGTGCTCCTTTTTGTGGTTTTTTCTAGGAAAACGAGGAAAAATGTGGCATGGGTGCAAGAAGCCTCTGTGTGTTTTTTTTAGTCGCATGGACTCGCTTTGCAGCACCGCTTTGCAACGCAACAAGACCACTTCTTCATCAATACAAATTGCAAAAGGGGGAGTTTTTGGCACCTGTCTGTCCATGTCAGTAATGGCGTCTCTTTATCTATATATCTATCTCTCTCTCTCTCTCTCTCTCTCTCTCACTCTAAGTGAGTGTGTATGTCTGTTTGTGTGCTTATAACTATATGTTTTTCTCTGAAATGGTGTATGTAGCAGTAAACATCGTTGTACCGCTGTTATGTTGGAAAAATGTAGGCGTGCTTTTATACAAGCGTAGAGGCGTACTCCGCAGTGCGTGGCATTAATACTTGGATGAGCGAGTAATGGGACTAAAACCGGCAAAAAAAAAGTGGGAAAAAAAGGAGGGAAGAAGGGATAAATAAATTCTTTTTAAACAAATATTATTTTTTTTCTTTTGCTTCCTTTGTGAGTAAGACTTTTTGATTCACTTTTTTTGTTGCTGTTGTAGCTTTTTGTTTCCTTTTTTGCAGTTGTTTATATGCTCTAACTATTGAATTTAATGCTGTCCTTTTTGTTCTTGCTGTTGTTGTTTCGCGTCTACTGGTTTTCTGGACTTTTGCCGCTGATAAACGTATTTCTTCACCTGCCTTACACAGCGAAGGAAAGGCGTGCTTGTGTGCAGTGTGGGGAGACATGCTGACTGGGCTAGGCACCTGGGAGTCCGCCGTGGAGGCGGTGGAGGCGCAGAGCCAACTGCAGAAGAAAAAACGCGGCGGCGGCTTTCAAAGCTTCGGACTGGGCAAACCCCTGCTCGACGCCGTGCTGCGCCTCGGCTACAATGTGCCGACGCCCATTCAGCGTAAGGCCATTCCGCCAATGATTCAGGGGAACGATTTGGTGGCCATGGCACGCACAGGATCCGGCAAGACGGCGGCGTTTCTTATTCCCATGTTGAATCTTCTAAAGTCACACAGCAAGACGGTTGGAATTCGTGGACTCGTACTCTCTCCAACGCGCGAATTGAGTTTGCAGATTTTACGTTTTGGTATCCAGCTGAACAAGTTTCTGGATCTCCGCCTCGCAGCGCTAGTCGGTGGCAACTCACTCGAGCAACAGTTCGAGCTGCTCGGGTCGAATCCTGACATTGTGGTCGCCACACCGGGCCGCCTTCTCCACATCATTGAAGAGGCTTCCCTGAAGCTGAGTATGGTGAGGTGCCTGGTATTAGATGAGGCCGACCGTCTGTTTGAGCTTGGGCTGCAGCCACAGATTGTTGCCATTATGCAGAGGGTGCCAGACACGTGTCAGCGGGCACTTTTTTCAGCCACAATGCCAAGCGTTTTGGCGGAATTCACTAGCGCAGGACTCCACAACCCTGTAGTCATTCGTCTGGATGCCGAAATGAAGTTAAGTGATAAACTGAAACAAAGCGCCTTCCTTGTCCGTAACGATGAGAAGGTGGCCGCGCTGATCCTGCTTCTTAAGAAGGTGATCGGCGTGTCGGCAGACAACACGAGCGACGGCAAGGTTCAACAAGCGCTTATTTTTGTTGAGTCTAAGTTTCACGTGGATTACTTACAATTGATCATGGAGGCATATCAGATCTCTTGCAGCGCCGTGCATGGCCAGATGGACCAGGAGGCGCGTCGTCTTGCGGTGCAGGCGTTTTCAAAGCGGGAAACGCATGTTATGATTGTCACAGACGTTGCCGCACGTGGCCTCGACCTTCCGCTGCTTGACAATGTCGTGAACTTCTCCTTTACACCCACGCCAAAGTTGTTTGTGCATCGTGTGGGTCGTGTGGCGCGCGCTGGCCGCTATGGTGCGGCCTACTCACTCCTCACCTTTGAAGACTTCCCGTACTACGTCGACCTCATGGCATTTCTCGATCGTCCCTTGCAGTGTCGGCGCACCGAGGGTGACTTGCTCTTCACGGCGGATGACGGCTGCTTTGGCCGTATGCCAGAGGAAGACTTGCAGCTGGAGCTCGACTTCCTGCGTCGCCTCGCTTTGACGGATGTGGAGGTGAAGAACATGGCGAAGGTTGTCGACAACGCACACAAGAAGTTTACACGCACGAAGAAGAAGGCGACGCACGACGGCATTCAAGAGGCTAGGCAAGAGAAGTACCAATTCGACAACACACCGCTGCACCCACTTTTTGTAGAGCGACTGGAGGCGAAGCGCATCATCGCCGATGAGGCCCGGTTTAACCTCAAGCGTTTCAAGGCGAAGGAGTCTGTCCTGGAAATGATTCACGGCGAAAAGATGTTTGAAATTAAAAAGCCTGTGACAATTCAAACCCTATGGAAAGAGCAGCAGGGCCACGCGGAAGCAACTAAGCAAGAAGTTCCTGTAGCGGCGGAGGAAGGGAGTTCAGCGAAGGGTAGCAGCGCAGCGTTGACTACAAGAGATGCGAAGGGGCCGGAAAAGAAGTTATCACTGGCAGAAAAACTTCTTCTGAAGGCACAAGAACGCAAAAAACGGGGCCGAGAGGAGATGGAGTGTAATACCAACGAAGACGAGGGTGTTACAGTGTGCCCTGCGCGAGGTGTGCATGGTCTGGAGGCGGACTACGGCGTCGGTGGCGGGAACTACCGCGACCAGGATTATTTTATGGAAACCACAAAGCGCAGCACGATGGAGGACGCGCACTACTCCGTGAAGGACGCAACATTTGACATGGGTGCGGAGAGTGCGCAGGAGGCGCAGCAGCAGCGCCAAGTCTTTGCGTGGAGCAAGAAGAAGAATCGCTTTGTCCGAATGAATGTCAACGACGCAAAGGCCATGTTGCGCGGTGTAAAGAATGAGTCAGGAAAGGCAGTGAACTTTAAGTCTAAGCTTGAGGCCTACTCACGATGGATCAAGAAGAGCAACATGCGTATTCAGGACGTCGGGGAGGAGGAGGATCTCGGCCCCCTCAATCGTGCCAGGGCCGCCCAAGAGCAGGGCAGCACCGGCTACAACCGTGACGCCGACGAGGATGAAGACACGGTGGACATCAGTGACCCAAATCAGGGGAAGAAACTACGGGTTGGTCGCAAGCAACGCCGTCTGCCAAAGGACGGGCACCTTCGCACCTTTGAGGAGATGGCGCTCATCAAACGCAGGGCAGAAAAGGAGAAGGCCCGCTTGTCACGAAAGAAGCAGAAGCGAAAGAGCAAGTAGGCCCTATAAATACGAGGTCAAGCGAAGCAACCCATACAGACCAAGCAACACATACAACAAAAAAAATTCCTTTTTTATTTTATTTATTTATTTATTTTTGTCCGGCTTTTTTGTCCTCCCTGTTTTCCCTGTATTGCTGTGAGGCATAAGTATGACTGAGGCCTCTGGGAGTGCGACCGGGACAAAAGGGGAGGGAGGGGGCGTATACCGGATGGTGCCTGGCAAGCCGACATATGTGCATCAGTAGCGATTGATGGTGTGTGTAATGCGTGGGCGTGCGATGCACCTGTAGTGTGTGCGGTTAAACTTCGTCACTCATGGTGGACGCAGTGTGGAGCGGCTGGATGGCCGCCAATGAATCGAGTAATCGGAAAGTGGAGGATAAACAGCGAGAATCCAACATGAAACACGTGCAGCGGGAAGGATAAGGGGGCGACCCGCCATGATAGTAATCAGAAAGTGAGAGAGAGAGAGAGAGAGGAGGGGGAAATAATAATAAAGGTAGCGTGTCCATTAGCGCATCGTTGGGTGACATCATTCCCTGCGGGGACCTCGCTGCCCCTCCTTCTTTCCTTCTCTCTCGCCCTCGCTTTTTTTTAAAAAAGTGAGTTGAAGACGCAATTGATCTAAGCCAATTGAATATGGTGATGAGAACTGTACGGAGAGAATGAGCGACACTCCTTTTTTTTACGAGACGAATAACACGCAAAAACAAAAAAACAACAACAATAACAGCAATGCATTCTCTCTATCTATTTGTTTTTATTCTCGAATCTCTTCTTTTCCTGTATTTTTTTTTCGTTGCGTCTCTGAGCGCCGTCAAAGGAGGGGGTGGGGCGATACATCTTTGTCTGCGGGGATGCACGGTGTCACGTACCCTCGGGTGGCGGGGCGGCGGCAGCGATCGCCGGAGAACGGCACCGTGCAATTTCCACCTCTCGACACACCGAGGCAAACTGCAACGCATGGGGATAAAAAAAAGCGAACGTCCGGGGCGGAAAAATCCTCCGCTGCGAAGGGGCGAAGTATTGGCGGCGGGAACACAAACAAGAGAAGCAACAATAGAAGTGACAAAGGAGCTGTGGTTCCTGTGGATGCAGTGATGGATATGAACAAAAAAGCCATGACACTCATGAAATGTGGGAAAATGAAGGCAAGTTATGACATGCTACAAGCGGCTCTGAAGGCTGCTGAAGCCGGCGTGCGTCGATTTCCGAGTGCTCCAAATGCGTCCAATCCGGAAGCCCAGGAGCAACGTGAGGCGTGGCTTCTGGCATTTGCAGCCACACTAAGCAACTTGGGATGCTTGCAGCGTCGCGATAATCAATTATACGAGGCCATTCGTTACCTTCAGGACGCGCGTAATGTGGAATCTCAGGTCTTTGGAAGGCCCTCTTGCTCCACCATGGTGAATCTCTCCGCCGTACTACTTGAATTGGGGTCAACAGAGGAGGCGCTCACTATTGCCCGTGATTGCGCCTTAGCCTCGGAGCAGAGTGACCCAATGCTTCATACTATTGCGCTACACAACTATGGCGTGACACTGAGCCAGCACACTTCAGAGGAAATGCGGCAGTCAGCGGTACCTGTGCTTATGAAGGCGTTGCGGCAGGCCCAACTTCATTTAGGCGAGGAGCACCCCACAACGATGCTCATCCGTCAACATTGTGGCATGACGCTCCAGAAGCCACCCAAGGATAGCGAGACATGCAACCCTGGTAACGCAGTTTCCGTAATACAAGCCCATGAAGAAACATGCAAACAACCGGTATCTTCAGGTGGTCGACTACCGCCGCTTACTCAAGCTTCTATACATCTCCAGCAAGCCAAGGAGGCTTTGCAGTCATTAAATTACGGTGATATGCCGTTATTTGGGGAAAGCTGTGCTTCCTCTGCCACCGATAGTAAAAAACAACCCAAATCCACTGAAGGTACCTCGAACCTGGGAAAAGATTTTGCATTCCAACCCGTTACGGCTTTTAAAGGTGAAAACGCGGAAATGCCGAGGAATTCCTCCATACGGAGGCCCTCGCCGAATGAACCCGTAGTTGCCTCCCTCGAGGAGGCCGTTGATGGAACGTTGGCAAGGCAATACTCTGCCGTGGTGAATGTACCAACGGCACCCTGGGCATTCTTAACAGAAGAGTCGGTGGAAGAGGAAGAGAGGACGAGAGAAAAGAAGGCGAAATGTGAATACGACGATGCAGATGATGACGATGATGAGAGGAAACGTATGCGTCTCAAAATGGCAACACCGACGCTGAGGATGAATGGAGAGGGGGCTGCCGTTGTTTGTGGTTTGCTGGAGCCCGCGGAAGAAAAAGAAAAAGACAGTGAAGCCAATAGCGCCGTTTATGTTGGCGCTGGCGACGCCGCTAAGCCTTCAAAGGGCGAAGTTGAAGAGGAACTGAAATGTAACGACACGACGATGGGGCCGCTGAAATTAGATGTTACTCAGCGACCTGTGAATTTTACATTCCCTGGAGGGTTCTTTTTCATTGGTGCCGAAGTAAAGCAGCCGGAGTCGTCCTTTTATCGTTTTGCGCCGCCGGATGTTTCATTGCCGCCTAGCGTGCCAGGTGCTGCGCAGAATGTGGCGGCAACAGAGGTTGCCAGGCAAAAACCTGAAAATGAAAAGTTGTTTAAACCCTTCGAGGAAGAGGAGGATGAGGAGGAAGAAGAAGATGATGAGTATGAAATGTATGGTGTCAAGCACAAAGAAATTCAAGAAAGGGGAAAGCGACGCGTGCCGACAGCTGAAAAGGCTATTGCGAAAAAGAGAGAGGCTTTCGTAAAGATAATTGGCGTTAACCCTGCCGCACGCCGTGAAGAGCGCATTCGACAGGAACATATGGAGGAGGAAGCGCTTCGTTCTCAGCTTCGCAAGGAAGCTGAAGAGAAGGCACAAGCGGAACACTTTGAGCGCACTTTTGCCGCGATCGTGTCTCGTACAAGGGACAGAGCCGCGAGGAAGATTCAATACACGTGGTGTATGTGGTGGAATTCTGTGGGGAAGCGGCGACGCGAACTGCTTATTAGACGGGCAGAGGAGAAGGCGCGGCGAGAGCGTTCGCGTCAGGCCCTTCTTGAACATGAGCGTCGCGTAGAAGAGGAGCGGCGGCAGAAAAAGATGGGCAGAACGAGGACCGGGGTTGAAACTATCCCGTCAGTAATTTCCTGTGGTACAAAGTGGTTAGCGAAGACACTCTGTGTGCGATATTTGGCACGGCGTCGTATTCCTCGTGAGGATAAAAAGGAGGCTTTCTTTGTGGTGCAGGTGTCCAAAATCCAGGCCGTTTGGAGGGGATACCACGTTCGTCAGCAAATGCAAGCTCAAGGCGCTACTCAAGCCCAGAAATGGAGATGTAATCATCAGGTGGAATGCGAGGTGTACGCTGCAATGGTCATTCAGATGTTTGTTCGCCGATGCTTTGCTCGCAAGGCAAGAGAAAATAATATAATTGAACGCTATGGTCCACCAGCGGTAAAAATTCAGAGATGGTTTCGCACTGTTATGCCTCGCCGACGTGCGCTCGGCGTAGATCGAGTCTCAAAGTGGCGAAAGCAATATTCTGCTAGATTGATTCAGCGTGCCTGGAGAGGGTATCTTTCTCGTCTGGCGTACTTCATGGAAAAACTGCGTTATAAGTTAGACGAAGATAGAAGACATGAACGTGTTGCAGCTTTCGTGTTGCAGCGAGTGGGTCGTGGATTTGCATGTAGGACTTTGATTGCAAGACAGTGGACGAAAAAGGCCCATCTTCGCGCAACCATGCACGCGCTTGAGTGGGGAGACGGTGACCTGCATGGAAGGAGGGATCCCGCACCCACTCCCCCACCACCAGCCGCGACGTATGTTCCCACCCCGGTTGACGAGGTAAATGCAGTAGCTAAGTTGGAGCGGGAGAAGTATCATATAGGCCTTTTTGTCGACGTCGTTGCAGAGCGTAATCGCGCTGAATGGAAAGAGGCCCTTCGCCTGCGTCCCTTTGAGGTGCTTCGACGTCGCGCCCACGAAAACCACCTCTGTGAACTTGAATTGAACGCCCTCAGACGGGAGCGCGCAGCTGTAAAGATACAACGGGAATTCCGTCAATGGCTGCGTATTCGTGACGCGCCCTTCCGCGATAAGGCCCTGTTACTCATTGGTCGCGGTGATTACCAGGTTTTGGAATACGGCCGCAAAATCGATCGCATACGACACGCGCGTGAACAAGAGGCAGGGCGGGTTATTTTTGGTGACCAACTCGCACCTATGCGCGGGGCGAGAGCCGAGGTACAGGCAGAGTTGGAGGAACTCCGTCCACAGGTGAGAACTCATGTCCCACGCGACGAGGTGCGAAGCCAAGGGGAACGCTGCGAGGTGGAATATGAGCTACAACGTGATGAGGACTTGCTACAGCAACAATTACGTGCAGAGACCCTTCTTAAGCGAAGAGATTCCCGTCTACGTCGGGCAATTGAGGCGGGTATCATAAGCTCACGAGGTGGTTTGATGGAAGCAAAGTTTGTACAATGAGCGTACACCTTCATGGCCCCAACGTTGAATTTTTTTTTGTTTGTTTGTTGGCAGGCGCTCCATCCAACAGGTTGGAAGGCGGAGGAGTGGTGTTGCTCACAGAACAGGAGAGGAGGCCCGCCGGACAGGGAAGAGTAGAAAAAAAAAAAAAACGGAATGTCGGGTTTTTTGGGTCTATCGTCTCCAGTGGCAGGGCGTTTCAATCGTTTTTCTTGTTCTACTCGCCTTGTTGGAGGTGGCAATTTGCTCTTCAACAGCTATGGGCGTGGGTGGAGGCGTGCGTGGTCGTTGACTCTCTGAAGTCTGAAGGGCCCTGTGGAAGTTCAAGGGAGATTTGGAGAGTAAACAACAACAACAAAAAACTGAGGAGTGTGAGAGCTAAAGGGGGTTTTGGAAGGAAGGAAACCCTGAGCCAATGTACAGAATAGAACACCATATGATGCAACCGACCGAGTTTTCGGGGGGTGGCATATTTCCTGTTCTTTTTTTTATTTGTGTGTGTGGTTTTTTCCCTTTTCATCCCGTTCCTGTGGGCTGGCATTTTTGATCTCTCGTTTCACTTCGGGGAAGTGCGAAGGAGGAGAAGGCATTGGTGTGATGTAATGTATAGAATATATACCCCCGCATCGGTGTGTCGCCGCCGGCAGAGCAGTGCCCCTTGCCCACAACGCAGCAGAAACTTTTTTTGTTTTTGTTTTTATTCTTTCTGTGTTGCCTGCGACGGCCTCTTGCTTGGAACAGTTTTTTTCTTCTTGATGCCTTTTTGTCTGCTGTGTTGGAATTCTCGCCTTCTTACGCGGAATGGGTGGCTGTAGTCTTTACAAGGGAGCCAAGCGAAGGGGGGAGGAAAGCGCCAGGAGGCAGAAAGAAAGCACACACATCCACACTGACGAGCACACTGTGAATTACTCTGTTATCTTTTTTGTTTGGTTGCTTGTTTTATCCTGAGAGTAACGTTACGGACAATCACATAAATTATTCACTTTCCTGTACTTGTTGCTTTGTTTTGTTGTAGGTTAAAATGATTCGGGATGCGGAGTTCTGGAAGGAGGCGCGGCGCCGACACAACGGGGGGGATGCAATATTCACCACCATGTTCCCGCTGCTGCACGCGCGGCAAGTGGCCCTGGACTCCGGCATAGAGGTAGATGAAGATGAAATTCGCTGTGGCATTTCTAGCGCCTTTCCTTTTCCCAGGGAGCCAATAAAGAATGCGCCATTTGGAGAGAATGAAGGCGCAGCTCTTCCAGAGTACGACGCCCGCGGCAAGACGGTTTCCACAAGTGTAATACGAGTTATGCAACAGATTTTGATGTTTGCAGTTCCACTTTATTCACTGCAGTATAACATACCCGCCATGTCGATGGCGTTACGAACGAGCTGCGTTGTGGATAGGGCGTCGAAGCACCTCGTTACATTTGGAGTTGCTGAGGTGAAGGTACCAAAGCATCTCCAGTGTCGAGGTTGCGTTGCCACAGACGACTTTTTCGCCATCTTGACAGATGACGAGGAAGTTTGGGTGTCGGGCGGCTTGAGCGTGTGCACGGCTGAGAACGGAGTGTGGAAGTCAGGGCTGCTTGGAAAGAGGGACTGCATGTCCAAGGTTGCGGGGAAAGCCCTGTTGGTGGTAGGACATGGATCGCGTCTTGCCTGCGTAACGCGGGCATTCATCGTGCAGCCGCTCTCCATGCTGTCAAACAACGTGCATTCGATCATCCCATCTCGTCACGTGCGATTTTTAGATTTGGGTTACGGAGACGAGTATTACATGGTTGGAACAGACTCTGTGCTATACAAAACACTTGCGTCTAAGCGCACCATTGGAACTCCACGTCGCGTTATGACATTAAGTCGAACAGCAGTTTCGCGTGTTGCGTGTGGAAATGGGTTTTGTCTAATCATTGATCAAAACGGCCACTTGTACACGATGGGGCGGAATAAACGCGGCCAATTAGGTAATGGGCATAAAAACTCGCGACGTAAACCGCACCTTCATAAAACCCTTTTGCATCACTTTTTTGTGATGGTTGCGGCAGGGGAGACGCATTCGCTGGCTCTCACAAGTAGCGGAGTTGTATACGCCGCAGGTAACAACGAAAGTGGCCAACTTGGGTTAGGGCAGACAATACCTGAGATGTTGCGTTTTACGCCAGTCCAGTTGCCAAGCAAATGCGTAGGCATAGCAGCAGGACCAGCAGGTAGTATGTTTGCATGTGAAGATGGTCGTGTGTATGCCGCTGGGCTGAATTTTAACCAGCAGCTTGGAGTGGATTCGTCGGCTCGCATTATTTACACCCCCACTTCCATTCCAGGGATATCAAGGGGTGTGGAGGCGTACACCATGGACTTTGGTGCGTACCACAAGCCTCTCATCTTGGCAAGCGACTCAACACCCTCGCCAGTGTTGACGGATAATTCACCGATCGTCTCAAATCCGGGGGAAGAACCACCCCTGCAGCGGTTTTCGTCTCAAATCCTGCGGGCGACCCTTGCGAGCGATATACAGCGGCCGGAGGCACTTGTACGCGCCGAGTTGCCGACGAAGAGGAAGGGTAAAGCGGCGTGTGTGAAATGTTGTGTAATCATTTGAGCCGGGGTTGTGGTGTTGTTGATTATGTTTGTCTGTTTCCCGTTGTATGTGTGTGTGTTTCTTTTTTTTTTGCCATGTAACCATTCGCTCCCTTTGGCTTCCCATTTTCTTTGCTGCTGCTGCTCTTGTTTTGAGTCACGGCAGCGAAGAAGGTGTTTTGTGCACACTGTGGTACATATCGCGTCAGCCCCACTGCCGCTGTCTTGGCACACTGCAGATCTCTATTCCCTCTTGTTGCTCTTGCGATGGTGTTTCCCGCTCATGTGGTGGGGGGCGGCAGGCGGCGGGGGCCTGAGTCTTTTTGTGAGAGTATGTGTGTGTGTGTGTGTGTTGTTGTTGTTTTTTTTTGACTTTTTATCAAAGGATCGAACCGGCGCTCTGTCTTTATTCTTTGCTGCTAATCCTACGAGATCGTGGAAGGAGAACGCCAAGGCAGTGACCGTAAATTTCACCTCACCTTATTTACGCTCCCTTCTGTCTTCCCTCTTATTTTTATTTTTGTTTTATTACTTTTATTTATTGGCTCTTCTATTCACCCACACTCGCCCCCGCTGATGTGCTTCTCTTGGCTCGCTCTTAGTGCGCAGGGGACGTGCAGCACGAAAACAAAAGGAACAAAAACAAGTAGAAGAGGAAATGTTCCGGACGACGGGTGCCATGCGGCTGCCGTCCCGTTTTTTCTTTAGGGGGCGCCGCAACACGCCCACCTACTACTCCAGTCGCGGCGGTGCCGAGGGTCACCCAGACATGGTGGCGGAATGCATCGAAGGTGGCCGCACAGACCCGGAATGGATGTGGTTGAAGCTCCTTTGCTTCTTCTGCGTGGGCTCAACGGTGGGTACGTCCCTGTGGCAGATGTACTTTTATGAGCAGGCGAAGTTTTTCAAGGATGAGCCGTGGTCGCCGTTCAGGAATTGAGGGTTGAGGTTGGGGGGGGGGTGAGAGGAGGATTGCGGGGAGAAAGACAATGACATGCGCACTCCTACGTGAAGCAAAAGCAAAGCAGAAACTGCGGGTTAGGAGGAGTAGAAATGGAATGTTGGTTTTTCTGTGGCCTCTTGTGTGTAACTGTGTGTGTGTGTGTGTGAAGTGGCCGAAGGCGGGTTTGATTGCGTCGTTTTAACCGAGAGAGCCTCTTCCACTTTGTGAGTATTCCCGCACGCCCTGCTTCTTCCACCCGTTCTCTTCCATGCCCATAATAAGGACACATTGGTAGCTCAAAGGAAGATTGCATGAAAATGAGCCGAAGGAAACCCCCCCCCCTTCCCCTGCTCTCCTTTTTGAATCGGAATCTTCACCGGCACGTGATGGGAATTAATTTTGAAATTTGTTCATATTCGGAACTGACTTTGTCGAGCCATTTCATCCACTGACTGCCGCCTCCGTCTCACTCTTTTCCTCCCCTCAACAGGAAATGCTGCCCACTGCTGCTTAATAGCGGTGGGTGCGTTGAAAATGACAGCAAAATAGCCCCCTGCTGCACTGTTCCCAATAACTCCGTTAGCTGCGAAAGGTGTTTTCTGCATGAAATTTTGTCACCCCTTTTTTTTGTGGGTGTGTGAAATGATATCAGTTGATGGTTTCTGTTACTGTACTTGTCTGACTTTGTTTGTGCTGCGAGGCAATGGGTTATACTCCCCTTCATCTCCCTCTTCTCTTCTTTGACTCTGTTTTCTTTCTTTTTAATCGCCAGAAAATACGCCCGAAAAGGGAAGGAAAAGAAGGAAGGCGCAGAAAACGGCTACAAAAAGTAGTGTTTGTTATTATTATTATTGTTTTATTTTTTGTTTTGGGGTTCTTTTTTTTTTCCTCATCGATTGGGAAGGCGACGCCAGTGACACTGACGACACGTATACATTCCTGATTGATCGATACAATTCCTCCCTGTTGCTCACCTCCACCGTTGCTGCCACACACGCCTGTTTTCTTTAGCTCGTGGCGCCTCGTTGCTAACCGTGTGTGTGTGTGGGGGGGGGGCGCGATATCGGTATGGCGTCATATTATGCGCGGCTGGACAATTTGTTTGCGGCCTACGCCCCCGAGAAACGTCCGCTTGTTGCCTCCCTACTTGAGAAGTACGGCGGCAGAGAGGAGGAGGTGTTGCAGAGCCTCGTGAATAAGTTTGGGCCGGAGCCGGCTGGGGCAGCAAACGGCTTCCAGGGAGAAGGCAATAATTATCGTGAACGCCTCGTTCGTTTTTATGCCAAATATGCACCGAAGAAGCTCGTGACCGTTGACGCAATGTTGGCGAGATTTGCAGGACGGGAAGAGGAACTTTTCCTTGCTCTGGTGCAAAAACATGGACCGGAGCCGCCCACCTTTTGCAACAACGGTGTCCTGCGAAGTGGTGAGAATATTTTCGACTCGCAAAGTGAGCAGAGCAGCAGCATGAGCAGTGTTGCTGTTTCGCGCTACAATGTGCACGATCCCCGATGGCGTCTGGCGCGGATTTTTATGGAGCACGCTCCTGAGCGGTTAGCGATTGTGGATCAAATGATGAAGAAGTACGCCGGTCGCGAGGAGGAGATGCTTGCGCGTTGTGTAGAGCGCTATGGTCCAGAGCCGCCTCCACCGGATGAGCAATCACCGCGAAGCCGTTTGTCGCGCTTCATTGAGCACTATGTTCCACGCAAAGCCTCCTCCGCGGAGGCCATGCTGAAAAAGTACGATGGGCGCTTAGAAACTCTCTTTGCGGTCCTGGTGTACAAACTCGGTCCGGAACCACCTGCGCTTGTGCCGACTGGTGGGGCGCGTAAATTGACATACCGTCAACGCCTCATTTTGTTCTACAAGCTATACGCCAGGGAAAGACTCGTTAATGTGGATACCGTACTTCAGCGATACAAAGGAGATGAGGAGACAATGTTTCGTATTCTTGTGGAAAAGTATGGACCAGAACCATCCCCTGACTTTGAGCCAGATGCACCCATTGCACCCGATAAAGACTACCGCACACGACTGACGCGTCTCTTTACGAAGTATGCACCTGAACGTGTGAATAGTATTCCAAGTATTTTGAGAAAATACCGAGGTAGCGAAGCTGACATCATTAAGGCCCTTGTTGAAAAACTTGGGCCGGAGCCACCCTTTGCTTCTTCCGCCACCTCATCTGTGGTGGTTCCTGTAGTTAAAGAAGCTGCGGATCCCTGTCGTGGTGTCTCACCAATGACAGGTGAGCTCTCTGTTGCTGACGGCAAGGGAAGCCAAGAAGTTTACCAGGATTTCGAGAAACCAGGTGTGTGGTTGAAGCAGCTCTCGTTGCCCCTGTCTACTTATCGCCGCTATGCAGTTAATCGGTTAGGCGAAGATCGTCTCAGTGAGTTAGAGATGCGGTTTGGTATCCCTCGTTTGCTGGTTAACAAGGACAATGGCGATGATAACACCGAAAAGAGCTGGGTCGGTGTCAAGAATTTAGTGACTGTCGCCAGAAACTACAATGCTGCCCAGGAGACCGAAGAATTTGAGGAGTCGACGCTTGCTGAAAGCGTCAGTGCCAATTTTGCATGCTTTCTGTTGATTTTGGAAACGGTGGAATTTCCTTTGCCGGAGGACTACTTGGAAGGAAGCATATTTTATCGTTATCCCTTCTGCACTTTGCTCGGTGATCGTGACCGGTTTGCCCTGCAGATGTGTGCAGCACTTATGGATCTAAAGGCAAAGTTCGAAACAGACACAATTTTCCTTTTGGATGCGGAAGAAAGCTGCCGCGAACGAATTGTGCGACAAATGGATAGTTGGAAGCAGCGGCACTGCGCCAGGTTAGAGGACAGGGAATCTTATATACAGCGTCTTCTTCAGCGGGCACGCGAGCTTTTGCCTGAGTTTGAGGAGAAGGAGCGAGAGGAGGTTATCACGGTGGAACAAATTGAGCTTAAAGGGAAGGTGTTATGGTTTCATGAGGGCTTGCAAATGATGATGAGCAACAACGGGGCCCTGCTGAGCCCGTACGTCGGCCGAAAGCGGGGACACGAGAAAAGCATGCTTGTGGGAGGCAAATATGTGGAGTCAACCTCACCGCCCGCTGTGGTTCCACGTGGGTTTCAGCATTTGATCTCTCCTCATCCCCTGCGCAGACAAGGGCGTGAGGATTTTTTTTTGCACTCCTCGCAATATTCAACAACTTCTGCGGAAGAGAAGGCGAATCTGCCTCTGGAGGGCAAGCAGAAGACACGGGCCACGGTCACTGTTACAACTCCTGCAGTGCATGGTCGCAAACCCATCTGTCAAGGGGCAACGAGCGCCGGCAACGTCTCTAGTCCCTTGGAGGGCTCTCCGCCGCCAAGAAGGCCTCGCGAAGTGGTGGGACCCATTCAAGATGTGCTTCGATTTGGTGAGACTTGGCCGGAGAACAGGCCGGCTATGCAGACTGGAAATAGGGTGGAACTCACAGGACGTGACAAGTGGGGTCCAGCCAGAGAAGGAAGGCTTTCTGAAGTTGCAACTCCGCCGTGTCGAGATGCACGCGAAGCTATTTTGTTAGGTGAAACGCCGGAAGTTGCTGCAGATGTTGTGCCACCTTGTCAAGGTGACATTGGGTCTGGTCTTGGATACTGTTACGTGCCCTTCTTTTTTGAAAGGGAGGGCGGCGTTCGTTCTGACCTCTAGAGCATGTCATTTTCGTCTGTGTCTCATTGCTTGTAGCTTCACCTCTGTCAACGACTCTGGGCCAAGTTTCTTTTTTTTTTTTTTTGTCTCTCGCTCTGTATTTGCGCGCGTGTTTGTCTCTCGGTGGCAATTCTGTGTGCTCGTGTGCGTCCTCTCCTTTTGCCCTTTCCTCTGCGCGTGGTGATGTGTATTTTTGTATTTATTTTTTATTTTATTTTTTATTTTTTCATTTTCTTTTGTGATTTTGCTGCATATTTGTGCTCGTTTATACCCTGCTGTCATCGTGCCTGTTTTCTACCAGGGGTGTGTGGTGGGGGGGGGGGGCTATCGTGTATCCTTGTCCCCCATCCTTCCCTCCTTGCCACGCAGACTAGCCGCATAACACGGTTCTTTTGTTTCCATCACCCGTGTAGCAACAATAATATAAATGCGCATGTGCTGCTCTTCTTTCAATTGCAACTTGCCAAAGAAGCGACAAATGAAGCATTCAAAGTTACAACTATATATGACCGGGTTCGGCCCCTTCAAGGCTATCACGGTGAACCCAAGCGCCGCAATTGGGGAAGCAGCCGCAAAAGAAATGGTGAAGGACAAGGAACTTCAAGTTCATTATGAGGAACTAGAGGTTACCTACGACGCGGTGTCTGCGTACTTTAAGAGGCTTGAAGAAGATATCGCAAAGCACATGGAAGAGGATCCAGAAGTGTGTGTCCTTATTGTACACGTCGGACTCCACAGTCGTGAGCAAGAAGGCCAAATGCGGTTGGAGGTACGCGCCTACAACGAACTTGAGGGTTCCCCCATTGAGGAGTTACTTCCTTTGGACACGTATGTGGAGAGCGTCTTTGGCTGCGAACGGAACGCCATGTCGAAGACGGCGGCGGAGCTCATAGAGCAACTCAATGCTGTGATATTAAAGCAGGGACACGAAGACGGGGGGCGCCAAAGGCCGCATTGGCTCACCTCCCGTGACGCCGGTCGGTATTACTGCAATTACACCCTATATAAAAGTGTGCATCTGCAGAAAAAGTGGAAGGACCGAGTATTCCCTGTATTTGTTCATGTCGCCAATGCATACACATGCAATAATCCCAGTCTAGAGGAGCAGACCGCACAGGTTCATTCACTCGTGTCAGGACTTGTGCGAATTGTGCGTAATAAAGACACGAACTCATAAAGGCGTGGCGGTTTTTCTTGTTGGTATTGTTGTTTTTTTTTTAATCTTTACTGTTGTTAATTTTATTTTCACACGTTTTTCTATGGGGGCCTTCCCTGTCTTCATCGCATTTACCGGTGTGTCTGTGTGTGTGACGAATTACTCCTATGTGATGTTTTACAGTTCACCCTGTGAAATTGTTTAACGCCTTCCATTGGTTTCTGCAATGTAGGTGTGTATTTACTATTGTTACTCACAGCTAGCGCATTATATGCGCCTTTTAGTTAGGTGCATCGCCCTTTTCTCTCCTTTTCTTCTTGTTGTTTTTGTTGGGTTGTTTTCGTTGTATTTCACTGCGCCCGCCGGCCATGATTATTGCACGCGTGCCTCCACTTGTGCGTCTTCCTCTCACGTTATCAGCCGTGCGGTTGGATTGTTTCACGCGCTGTGGTCTGCTCCGCTGATTGCTTATTTTCTTCGTCTGCGGTGTGCCTCACTTCACTTCAGTCACAACGGCCGTGTCCGTCGCCGCGCCTAAGGGATAAGGCCCAAAAAGCAGAAGAGAAATAGAAGATCGAAGGGAACATTTCTATATCTTTCTTGTTCAAGAAGAAAAAAAAAAGTGTAAATGTCCGCGCCACCGCCATGGCTTCCATTCATTGAATACGTCATAATGGCGTTAGAACACCCACCAGACATGTTTGTGTCAAGGTTGGCAGTGTGTTGCACCATGCTCTTCCTGACTCGCTCTGACCCAGAGCTGCTGCGAAGCCTTTGCCATAAGTGGGCAATCCGCTTTTCCAAGGACAGGGCCACCCTGGTGGCTCGGTTACGGCGACGCGTGCGAAATTCGCTGGGCCTTCCTCCTGCTTCTGTTAGCTCTGCGGATAGCCCAACCAACCTCCACCCGGGTCCCAAATTGTGCGACCCAGATGAATGTGTGGAACACTTTCTCCGGCTTGTTAATACGCTTGTGCCAATGTACTTTTCTTGGAACTGGCATCGCACTGAGGATGTGATTAACATCAACAAGGAGTATGAGCTTTACGTTAGGCATAATATACTACCCATGTGCATGGCAACGGATCCTGAGGAGGCGTCGGATGGGGAGGAAAGCTTCTCTCTGTTTCCACCTCACCCCTCTTCTTGTGCTAGTGAAAAATTTTTTGACCCTGTAGCTCTAGTCCCATGTAGGCAACCAGGCGATGAAACGAAACACGGCCCTTTGGATTCCCCCCTGCCCAGCTTTGCATCAATTGGAAACCTTTTGGGGCGTATTAAAAGTTCACCCCATGGACTGGTGCTAATTTTTCACGCTAGATTTTCTGCGAAGAGCTGCATGGCCATGTCTATTTTTCAGAGTATCCTCCAACGCCAGTTGCTGAATCCTCAACCCTCTGTTTCTGTTGTACACGTTGTGGCAGAGCCGGAGCTTGCGAACATGTTTAAAATTTCATGGTTTCCGACTATCATTTACATGCCCGCTTTGGCCCCGGACGAGCTTGCCCGTTCATTGTGCGAAGAAACACCTTCTACTCCAGAATGCACTTCTGCTGAGCCGGCAACTGGTTTCCTTGTTCGCTGTGATAATGGTCTTAGTACCGGCGCGGTTCGCATGTCCGCATTAAGCAACTCAAAACCTTCAGTGTCAGAAGTTTTGTATGGCCTCCCTCTGTGTTCAAGCAGTCTTTCCTCTTCTATCATGCATGAATCTTCTGTCAGTGAGGAGGAGCTATCCTGCATCATTGGGAGGGGGCTTCATCGCACTTACCCTGCAAATGCAGCTATAACCATTCCTGCAATAGTTGAATGGATTAACAGCAAAGGAGAGATTTTCCCGCGAACGAAGGATGATGAGGATTTTGTGAGTCGTATTAATGATCTTCGCGAGGATGAAAAGTTTCAGAAGTACCGTGAAATGGTATCAGCTGTGGTGATGCTTCGTCAACTGCAATGCAGGTCTAATAATAACTGTCGGGTGGCGGAGGGGGAGGCACCGGTGTTTATTTTTATGGGTGGTGGTATGGCAGCAGGAAAGAGTACTGCGGCGACGGCGCTGTCGCGCAGTGCGTGGTGGGAAAAAAATAAAGACAATATAGTTCTGGTAAACGCGGATGACTTTAAGGTTGCCATGGCTCCGTGGTCTCAAGGTGTAAAGGCCATGCACGAAAGTAGTACGCGGGCGGCTGAGAAACTTTTGGTGAGGGCGATCAATCAAGGTCGCAACATAGTCTTTGACAGCACCATGATGTGGCGTCCGTTCATTCAGCAAGTCATTGATATGGTTCGCCACGCACATACGACGTTGTACCAGCAAGGAATTGGGTACAAGGACAATGGAGCCTTTGAAGAGTACTTCAAGCCGCTTGGGCCGCGATCCGTGCCGCTCTCCATGCCCTACGAAATTCGCATGCTTGCCATCACTGTGGAGCCAGAGGTTGCAGTTCCACGCGGGATTCTTCGTTTGTTTGCAACAGGAAGGGGAGTGCCAATCCCAATGCAACTACGCTCTTTCCGTCTCTTTTCGGAGAGCTTCGGGACATACATGGAGTGGGTCGATAAAGTCACTCTTTTCAACAACAATGTCTACGTGGAACTTAAGAAGGGCGAGTTGCCTCCCATTCTTGCGGAGAAGACGGAGGAGGGGCTGTTTATCCACGACGAGGAGGCCTATGCGCTTTTTCTGCGCCATCGGCTTCTGAATGACGACGCAGATAACATCTTGGAACTCTACCCTGATAACAATATCTAGCTTCAGAGGGGGCGCCGACAACTTTCTGCACTGCGTGTGGGTGTGTGTGTGTGTGTTTATTATTATTTGCTTTTTTTTGTGGTTTCTTTCTTCTTTTCAGTACCATTTCGACTTTCTTTCTGTGTTTGGGCTTCTGCGTAATGCCCTGCGGGCACTCGTTGCCGTTGCTCAGGTTGATTTTGCTTTCTGTCCGCGTGCGGGACAGGGACGCTTGGGCGCACACCACCTCAGCGGGCACGGACATGGAAAAATAGGGCGAGGGAGAGAGAAGGAGAGAAGGCACACGGGCTCTCTTTCTCTTTCTCTTTCTCTTTCTTTCTCTCCCTCTCGTTTGTTTGTTTGTTCCTCGCTCATGCGTGCCTCCTCTCAGCGCCTGCAGCGACACAAACGAGACGCACGACATCCAACGGCGGCGGCTGTTAAAAACCAAACGTGAAAAAAAAAATGGTAACGTGCGGGGGACGGAAATTATGAGGAGAGCGGGGCGGGGGTTTGAAGCACAGCGCACGCTTTGGCGCTGCCCGTGCACACGCTAACTAGTCGCGCGGAAAGGCATCGTGGGAGACGGAACGAGCGGCACAGAGGAATAAGTGCAAGGGGGATCACAACGTCAAAATAATAAGTGTGGGGAAGGCGGTGAAATAGGCGAAAAAAAAACGAACAACCATAAAGAAATAGGGATCAAATTGGAGGCGGGGGATCAAAACATGACGAAGAGGAAAAGGGAGAAATTTTCTCATGTGACGTACAAAAAAAAAAAAAGAAATGTAGCACGATTCATTTTGGTGAAGCTTTACATTGCATTTTAATTTACGTCAGGATCATTGCGGACACGTGATGGATAATTCATTCAAATACTTATGCAGAAAGGGCTAACAGAGCAAAGAGAAGAAAGTTAAAGTGGGATTTTTCGTGTAGATTCTGGGGAGCTTGGTCGTACGGCGCATGCTTGATGTGTGCTTCGTCGAACATGCAGTGGCGGAGCTCTGCCGTTGTAAATTTGTATTGGTGTCAGAGACGCCACCGCATCAGTTTTCCTTTCTTACGACGTATTTGTTACCACAGCTCCGGACACATTTATATATCTGTGCAGGTGTGCGTGTGTTACCCAAAGCAGTGTTAAAATCTGTGGCTTTCTTCTGTCCCTTTCCTCACTTTTTTTTCTTTTTCCTTTAGACGATTGAGACTCCAATGCATTTATACACAATATAATATAATATATGTGCAAGGAGTGAAGGGAGAGGAAAATGAAATATGCACCCACGGATTCTGTTATGATTCCATGACAAAAGGGAAGGGAACGTGAGGTTGCCTCCTTAGCAGACTATGGAGCGATCTTGCGAAGGGAGGGGGCTCCGCTAAGTGGTAGCGCTTCTTGTTAAGCCCGCAAGTTTCCCTGTTGATTACTTGCGTTGCAATTGCGGCGATAAGTCCCGCTGCGGGGGCTGGCGGGTGTAGCTCTTTTATCTGTGCCCTTACACCCCAACTCGCTGCGTGGAGGGTATTCCCGCAGAGGAGGTTGGCGGCAGCGGGGGCCCACGGAGTGCCTC